GAGAGCAGGCGCAGGGACGTGATGCCAGCGGATTCTCTGTGCAAACAACCTGGTTCGGTCCCCTTTTGGGCAGAGGGTCTCTGGGCAGCCCAGGGCGGGCAGGGCAGTTGTGCCGCGGTCGGAGGAGTGGGGACCGGCCGGTCGCAGAGCCCCTTGGTGCTGCAGTGATTCAGACCCCAGCAGCGGTTGTTAAAGCAGCAGCATTGCAACTGCAGGCGGGATTTTGTACCCTGGGGGTGGTGTTGCCCTGATGAAACAGCAGAGCAGAGTTTGGGGTCACACAGTCCTTTGTGGAAGCCAAAATCTCTGGAGTGGGGGACGGAGGGAGAGGGACTTAGGCGGAAGGGGCAGTCCCGCTCCCCGCTCTGCTTTTGGGCAGGAGGGGTGAAGCTGGGGCAAGGCAGCAATAGCCCCCACAGCCACATCGCTCGGTGGCACCAGCAACGTTGTCTCCCTGGAAATTCCCATAAACACCACAAAGGGCACAGCAGAGTGTGAAACCAGGCCATGGCCACGACCAGGGGTGTCCTTTTTGGGCACTAGTTGCCCGCGCAGTATTTGCTGTCCCCACCTCCTGATCTGTGAGCTCGGGTGCTCTGCCCGCTGCCAGCTGTGGGCGTTGGAAGCAGGCGGAGGCTGGGAATGTCCCACGTCCCCTCTGTCCTTCCCGTTGTAACACGTGGGCCTGCCCTGTCTCTGTCGCTGCAGGTTGTGGGCAGCATGGACGCCCACCCCAGCCGGTACTGTGCCACGGTGCGCGTGCAGCGTCCTCGCCAGGAAATCATCGAGGACTTGTCCTACATGGTGAGGGAGCTCCTCATCCAGTTCTACAAATCCACCCGCTTCAAACCCACCCGGATCATCTTCTACCGCGACGGCGTTCCCGAGGGGCAGCTCCCGCAGGTGAGGACCCCTCGGGTGCCATCGGCCAGAGGGGCTGCTCCAGCTCCCGCAGGGCTCCCTAAGGGTGCGTGGGGACGGCGGGGTGCTGGCGTGTCCCCTCACCCTGCATGCGCCTGTCTCTCCAGATCCTTCACTACGAGCTCCTAGCGATCAGAGACGCCTGCATCAAACTGGAAAAGGATTACCAGCCTGGCATCACCTACATCGTTGTCCAGAAAAGGCATCACACCCGTCTCTTCTGCGCAGACAAGAACGAGAGGGTGAGCGCCGTGGGGTGCTGGGGCCGGAGGCGGCTGATCCATCCCCAGCCTCGAGGAAGAGCCAGCCCTGACTTTGCCGAGGGGAAAGCTCGCCGCTGGCGGGCAGAGAGCTCTTCCTTGAATGAAACGTGCTGCTCGGCTGACTCCCGCGCCCGTGCGGATTAGGCTGCTTCTAGAAACCCAGGCAGCTGTTTGCTGTTATTACAAGTTACTGGGTGCTGATGGTCCCAGCGACTCTCTTGAAATAGCCTCTGTCAGCCTGAAAACATCTGTTGTTCTGGTGATAGCTGTAGCCGCTGACGTGACAGGATGAATAACCCCTTGCTTGCTCACAGCTTCTCCCATGTGCTGTGCAGTAAACGTCGATTGCTGGAGCTTTCCCTTTAGATTTGACCTCAATTTTAGTGGTTAGGTCTAGTCTAACCAGACTCTGGCTCTACCTGAGCGTGAAGATTTCATCTTGGGAACTGAGGACAGTTTTTGATCAGGGTGCAAAAGCCCCAGTATCTTGTGGCAGAGACTCTAGCTTACGCTCTCCACAGACATCCCGGGAGATTTGCTCACTTAATCCTCATTTCTGCAGTAGGATGGGCCAGTGCCCAGCCCTCACCCTGCCTGCTTTCCTTCTGATGCCGTTTGCTCCATCTCCATGTCATGCCAGGTGTTGGTGCTAGCAGACAATGCCAGCAAGCCTTTTCGGGCAGGGAGCAGAGCGGGATGAGCTGCTTCTATCCCCCCCTAATGAGCACGTGGGGATCGGCTCTGCATGGTGCTCTCCAACTGAGGTGCTGAGATGGGGACGCTGCGCTGTGCCCTGGTGCAGGGCAGGTGTCTTACAGACGGTGCTCTGGGCAGCTGGAAATAACCAAACTCTGCAGTGCTTGGGTCTCTCTTTCTATTCCTTGTAGATTGG